TACTGCTACTGCTAGTGCCAGTGCTGCCAGTACTGCTGCTGCTCCTGCTCCTGCTGCTGCTACTGCTCTGCTGCAACTGCTCCTGCTGCTCCTGCTAGTGCCACTTCTACCGCTACTGTTACTGCTGCTGCCACTGCTGCTGCTTGCTGCTTGCTTTTGCTCCTGTTCCTCCTGCAGATGCTACTGCTACGGCTGCTGGTGCCAGTACAGGTAGCTTCTGCTTCTGCGGCAGGCACGATTTCTCATGTCAAAGTCATTCTGACAGTTTTTGTTGTTGCTTTTCGCGTTCATACAGGTACCATCTTCATTTCTTCACTTCCTCCTGTGTTTCAGTTTGGGCAGCTAGGGCGCCGGAGACACGCCAGAGCAGCAGCTCAACCACATCTGTACTGAAACACATTGTACCGGAGATTCCTTAAGAAGGTATGGACAGGTTCCCGCAAAGACAAGGGTTGGCCGTGAGAGGGTTCAGCACACTGCAGTGGATTGTTGTGGGATTGCAGGGTTTGGACATACTGTTTAGGGTTTAGGGTTGGGGGTGGTTTTGCGAAGGTGTCTTTGCAGCTTCGTGGCTTTGTGAGATGCGAGGATCTACGTGCAGCCAGCCAGGTCTCATCCTCAGGGGTGTGAGGTCGTTGAGTGCGACGGTTGCCCGGGCGTATGGGAATTCAGTCGGAAGGACGGCCTGTATTTGAAATGTCGGTCCCAGCTTGTCTCGTTGGTCTGATTTGAAAAAGGGGCTGCAAGAGTGAGTAGGAAATGGGTATTCTTCCTGCTGGGCAGCCAGGCTAGGATGCATGTCTTGGTGACTTCCTCAGGAAGGTCGGGTGAATGCTGTCGGACGGATGAGTCCTGTGCTGCGGGGTATCTAGGCCATTCATGGCCTAAAGCGCCTAAATGCCATCAAGCAGTGGCACGTCCATCTTAGAGACGAATACAGGGACTGGCTAATTATTGCACGAGCTGTGGCCCTGTCAGTTTAGGGTCGTGCTCCGAGTCTTAACCCCCCTGAAACCCTCCACCCTAAGCCCAACATGTTGAGCCTTCCAGAGTGCAGGAGCCCAGTCAGCAAGGAAGGTGGGGGGATCCTCTACAGGATGTAAGTTGTGGAAAACAGACTAACCCTAAACCGTATCCGAGGTGCGAGAGTGTAGAAACCCTATGAAAACGACGGTCGAAACCCTAAACAAAACCTCTAAAAACCCACAAGCCCTAAACCGCTCTAAACCCCTGAAGCCCCTACTACACCCTAAACCCCCCTAAACCCCCCCAACCCCTAAACTCCATAAAAGCCCCGACACCCCGGTTCCCAGTCCCAGCAGTGGTGGCCTTGGAGGCGACAGCCTGAGGCCAGGCTGCTGGCAGACCCCCCCCTTTCCGCTTAAAAAAGGGGGCCTTAAGTACAGGACAAATATAGGGGCCTCAATAATTAAAGGGATCCTTAGAGGGGATACTGTAAGGGATACTATCAGGGTTTAGGGGCCTTAATAATTAGACTAGGGTTCCTTTAAAAGGGATACTATAAGAGCTACTGTACATAAGGGTTTAGGGTATAGGGGCCTTAATAATTAGAATAGGGTTTTGAGGCCCATTATAGTATAATTCTAATCATTACTACATTATTTTGGGGGCTCCTTATTTTAATGGGCCCCAAAACCCTTTCCGCTTAAGGAGTTGCTGCTTTCAGGGTTTAGGGGTTTAGGGTTTCGGGGTTTTAGGGTTTTGGGGTTGGGGTTTAGGGTTTTGCGGTTTAGGGTTTTGCGGTTTGGGGTTTAGGGAGTTTGCTGGCAGTCATCAAGTCCGGTTTCAAAAACGGCTTAGGGTTTAAGGTTGGTTCGGGTTCGGGGTTCGGGGCTCAGGGTTAGCGTGCGACGAGGCAAGCCCGCTGCAAAAGGGTTCAGGGTGAGGGTCTAGGATACACTCGCAAGGCCCAAAGCAAAGAAAGGCCACCTAACCACGCCTAATCTCCGAGTCCGATTTTCCAATTAGCAAGGCCCCTAAACAGCAGCACCCAGCAGCACCCATATATGGAGCCGTTTGGGAAAACATATGAAGTCCCCCCCCCCCCCCCCCACAAAAATTGCATGACGCTGCAGCTTTGCCCCGCTGTCTTCGCCCCAGGCTCTGAGACGGATCACACAAAAACCTGGAACTTAAAGCATCGAGGACAGTTTTTTCACATGAGATGAGCTCTTATGACATTAGGCTACCTAGCATTCTTTTGCGATCATACAAATATATATATATANNATATATAGATATAGATATAATATGTATATATGTATATATATATATATATGTTTTTTCCGAAGGTGGACATCGACGCCTTCTTCCGCCTGGCAGATCAGGACCTTTTCCTGCCAATCTAAACAGTCGCCAATTTATTTCAACACAATCCAAGAACATGCCCGAAACCCTAAACCCTAAACCGAAACCCTAAACCGCTTGAATGCAACGGCTGGGACGGGTTGAGTGCGCTACAGAGGCTTGCAGGCTGCAGGGGCAGCCTTAGACCCCAAGGCCGTGTGCAGGCTCACCCGGGCCAATGTCTTCATGGGAGTTTCCGAATAATTATAAGGTACCTTATTTTGGAGTCCTTATAATAAGGATCCTCTTATTTCGCGTGCTATATTAAGGTCCCCTATTTTCGGAAACCCCCTCATTGTTAGTTAAAGCAACCTCCCCTAGGTCTGCAAACAGTTCCGATATGTGCAGGTGGAGACACTAAGTGGATGACCTGGCTCCCCCCCCCCCTGACCCGAGTGACTGAAGAATATTGCCGGATTGGCGGTGGGCTTTCTCGACAAATTGTGCACTTTCCGTGGTTCTCCATTGTCTCGAATGTGGAGGGACATCTTGTTGTTGGGGTCGTGAGGCCGTGTGATTCTTGAATTCCCAGCCTGGCGGCCCAGGCCCCAGGGTGTCTTGGGACAAAGGGGAACATGAATGAACGCCGCTGGGGAAGGACGGCACTGGCTACATGGGTTACACAGAGTTCGTGGCTGCCTGCTTGTACCAGGTCCGCAGGCAGTTGTAATTCTCAGGTGTTGGGTTCTAGGGTTTTACACCTATAGACTAGATGCGATGGGGGGTGGGGAGCATAGGCTTATAGGGGTCGGAATTATCAGTAGTAGTATTCCTTTTCCCTTAACTGGACTTTAATGTCGCCCCACACCCCCCGTTTTGAGTCGATGTTTGGAGTTGAGGCCCGGAGACTTCTCGGCTGAGGCGTTCTCTGAAGGGCTGCCCCTTGAGGCAATCATGTTAAGAATCATAGCTTCCCGATTTATCTGATTGCATACAGGCTCCCTGCCGCTTCCGGGAACACAGCTCAAGTGCATTGTGTTCCTTGCGTGCGCTACCAGCATCTCATGACACAAATCTTGCCGGCTAGGTCTACAACAGTTTCGATGTGCTGCCCTCAGCTTCTTCCCTCCTTTGAATCAGGCCCTTTGCGTTCCCCGCGCTGGAAGGGAAGAATTATTTGCCAAGCCATGAATGGAAAGGATGAGGGCGTGAATGGATAGGATGAGGTCGTGGCAGAAAGGCACCCACTAGCACGACTCTGAAGCTCTCAACCCTGTTATGATAATGATTTGAATGTCAAGTTTTCGTGACAAACAAGTGAATGCAGCGTTGTATCATGTTGTATCAATTGAGCGGTTGCTCGTCATGCCATCTTTCGACTCTACTTTGTCGTTCAACGCTGCGTCGCGTCTGCACGAGCTTTTGTACGCTGCTCTTGGCTTCTTATGTTGACGGTTGGCGGGGAGCTAGCTGAAAATAGATTCCACAATTCTTGCGTGCGGTACTACAGCCCCTAGGGCCCTATATAGTGGGCATCTGGCGGGTTAGGGTTATATGGGTCGAAGAGCCAATCATGATGGAACACGTGCCACTAATCTTCACGCTTGTGAAAGGGAAGCTGTGGCTTTCAAACACTGGCCTTACGGTTACCGGACCAATGTACCCTACAAGGGGTACATGTACCTATGTTTTAGAGTAGAGTAAACCCCAAAAAAAACAAAAGGGTACATTGGTCACTCTAGGTACGGTTGAATAATAACTCGGCCTAGTGCCTTTCGATTGATCTCTGGAAGCCGTACGTCCGCCGTCGCCTTCAAACTGTAAATGGCTGCCCCTTCATATTGATTCATATAGCTACACTATTGAAGTTACTTTTTTACACCAAAATCCTTTTCCCCTTAAAGAACCCTGATGCTAACCCGAAAAGGAACCCTGTTCTAAGTATCCCGGCCCCGATTGTAGTGCCCCTTAAGCCCGAGGTGTCCCCTTGGCCTTAGTCAAATCCTGCGAATTAACCTGAAAGCCTACAAACCCTTCAGGTTCCAGGTCTAAAGACTCCTAAGCCCTAAGCCTAAGCCCCGACAAAGTCCAGATTCAGGCTTAAGGCTTGTTTTCTGGACTTCTGCTCGCTCGTCCTTCGGGCCGACAGATGCACGCGCTAAAGTCTACAGTTGCAGTCGGAGCATGTGACCTGAATATTGAGTGTGCGCAGTTGGTAGTATCACGACATGTGCGCCTCTGCAGCGTACTATACGGGATCATGTGTTGAAAATAGTTCTTGTTGATACTCGGAAGCTCTATACGCGTGAATTTGGCAAAGCGCTGAAGCTGGAAAACGCTATGGGGTTTGTAACTTGGGGCGTCAAGGGTTCGGCAGTCAGGGCTTTGAGGGTTCACGCCTTCGGCTTGTAGGGCTTCCGGCAAGTTTCTCAAGGTTCAGGGTGTTACCGGTGTAGTGCTGAGCTCAGCAGCGAAGAGCCAAGGCCAACTTGGTCGATGAAGTCTTCGATACGCTTGACCATGATCGGAACGGCCTACTGAAGGCTTGCTGGTTTCAGGTCTCAGTTCGCGGTGGCGGTTTGGACGGTTTGGATGCAGTTACGAAGAGAGTTGTAGCATTTCAGTACCGAACGTTTTTTCCAGCTGCGTCTTGCAGTGCCGTTGCTGCAGACGTTTGAACGATCTATGTAGAGCTTGCATTTTCGCGCAACAGTTAATCACAAGATGTGCCCTTAGACGGGTCATCTTGCTGGCGACCAAAGCACCGAAGATCTGATGATACGAATGCGACGGGGCCTGCCTCAATTCCTTCATGTCGGGGATCTTGCCCTGTTTGCAGGAAGCAGTTTTGAGGAGATGCATGCCTTGACAACCGAGTCATCCTTGCTTTTAGATTAGATACATCTTTACCCACCTAGGCGCTTACTTGCGACTTACGCTCCCGCTCCGTATTGCGAAAGCAAGCTTCCAGCCACAGTACTCTACACCTAACCCAAAACCATATATGCTGAGTTGGCACCTGCGATCTGGGAATGCCTTTTCAACCCCCCGGCTCAGCCTCCATTGGGATGCCTTTTTGAGTTTTCCGCATTAACCGGATTTTTGTTTGAAAATGGTTTTCTTGTTTCCATATATACACACAAGCACTTCACACGCAACTTTTTCCTGGACACGGCCCATAGACCAGAGTCTCGATGGTGAGGTCTCGCGGTCAGTAATTGGAGATTAGCCTCTTCTACTTCCGAAGGTCTTCAGAGTCTGGCAATTGCCCAAAAACCGCAATTTTGCCATTATCCCCTTTCTCGGAAGGCTCCCAAACCCCTAAACCCAAAACCAGCGTCAGGGCTTGGTCTTGCCTGGACTCCGT